CTTCTTTTTAATATATATATATATATATATATATATATATATATATATATATATATATGGAAAAGATTGATGAGAAAAAAATATTTTATGGAATAAAAATAATGTTAAATTAAGCATAATCAATACTGATCAAAAGATTAAATAATAATTTTTTAAATAAGAAGGACTAATTAATTCATTTCTTGAAACTAGATACACTAATTTATAATTTACTCACCATTTGGGTAGACCATTATTTCTATGAAAAGGAAACATATATATATATATATATATATATATATATATATATATATATATATATATATATATATATATATATGTGTGTGTGTGTGTGTGTGTGTGTCTCTCTCTCTCTCTCTCTCTCTCTCTAATCCATTCCAAAATAAGCATATCGTATAAGTTTAAGCGATTATGATGTAAAACCATCCTCAATAAATCATCTAATTGTCCAAATTGTTTTTTTTTTGATCGAATAGTTCGTTGAAACGATAAAAAATATAAAACACCAAAATCCAAAATTCTCTAATTATACAGCTGGTAGGCACATATTTATGCCTTATTATTATTAATTTTTTAACCGTGACACATATTTACGTTAGAGGCATGGAAAGTAAAAGAAAAAAAAGAATTTACTGAAAAAGCAAACCAAATAATTGTCGAAACCAACTATTGAATCGAGGAAGAAAAAATTGCAGACATAAAATCTTGTCAAATTCAAGACTCGTGAGTCTTGGCGAAATGGGTATAGTGCAGACAATTTCCTCTGCATGGAACACGACTGCACCCAAATATACATTGCTTATCGTTTTTCCATCCACTAAAAATGTGTTCGATATCCTAGTCAAAAGTTCCAAGAGGCCTATTCTTACACAAGTTTAATTTTAGTAGACAAACCTTCGACAAGTACTCGCATTTAATGTTGCTGATTCGCATTTCCATTGGAAAGTTGGAAAGTTAGCAAACATTGTTAGAGGTCCGCATTTTCTTCGGCCTCTTAAAGCCATGACTCTTTATAACTTGCCTTTTTGGAAAATAAAAACAAGACTCGTTAACAATTAATGTTTTAGTTTCGTTCACATAGTATGCCAACTTCTTTTGATCTTCCATGTGATTTTTCTACGTTTAGATTCTGTACATTTTTCAATTTTTTTATTTTAATTGAGACTTTTTATTTTTTGATTAAGATTTTATTTTTTGAAATTTCCTACTTCAAATTTTTTTTGTTATAACACTACTAATCAATAATAAATATATAATATTATAAAATAAGAAATCTCAAAAAGTAATGACATGTAAATTATTAATTTATGACGTTATAACAGAGAATATGAAGTAATAAATCTTAAAAATAAAATAAATCAATAAAATAAAATAAAGAATGCATAGTCTAAATACGAGAAAAAATTAATTTTGCATAGATGTGATAGAATCTCTTCATCTAGAAACATATTGATGTAAAAGATCCAATACTTTGTGCCTATTGGTCTACCTATACATAATTTCAACACGAAAAAAGAAAAAAGAGGAGAAGAAGAAATTCATTCAACTTGCATGTGACAATCTGACTGAAAGAGAGACAGATCCAATTTCATTATTAATTTTAATTTTTGTTATCGCATTTGACGTGTGGATTTTCTTTCCCATAATTATTGCATTCATATATAATGTGGCTGGCTGCCATGTTTTGCAAGTCAATTAGATGAATGTGATGCACACAATACCGGGTGATACATGATACTCACAGTTCTGGCCTTTAAAGCTCCCAGAGGCCCACAATACTGTTTGCTAACTGTTTGATAGCAGCCTTTCACATCCGAAGATACACAACAATTTCTTGAGTGCATATTTATTTGTTCAAGCCACGCTTTAACAAATCTTCAGGTCTTAGTCTGTTTAGTCAAGTTGTGTGTTCAAATTCAACACTTTCACATGCCCACTAATATTTCAAGCGTGGATGCTTAAAAGTAAGTTTCAAAGGATCGAAGGGCCCAGCTGAAGCTACAATGAAAATGCATGTCTTCGAGGATTGAATAACTGTTCATGGAGAAGGAATGTTTGAATAAAGAAACTTCCTTCAAAAAAAGTAGTATTTCATGCCGTGTGAACGGTGAAGTAGTTGGGTTAAACATTTCGAAGTAACTGCAATATTCTTAGAAATTTAATTAAATTCTCACTTTGTTCTCTCTCTCTCTTTTTATCAATAAATCTTCATGCATGTATGATAGTTTCGTAGCTTATAGTGTGAACAGTAAACTATTCTTTAATCTTTGGTTTTGAATGTCATAATAACTTATGTAGTCCCTTATGCTTGGAAAACCTACAACTTAAGTCTCTTGATTCTTGTTGATAGGCTATGTTGGTTTTTATATGAAAATTTAAAACTATTAAAAGATATATTTAGATTTACAAAAAAAGTAATTTATGTTAGAAAAAGACAACAATTGAATTATTCATACATTTCATATACGTCTACCGATTCATTTGATAGCATCAAATGATATGAGTTTTGGATAAAAATCTATAACACATTAGAATGTTTTTATTGATGATCCTTTACTCTAACACCATATAGGGTTACATTGGAAAGTTTCCTTCAAAGGATTTCTAATACTTTATTCTAAAGTCTTGATATTAGTGTATTAGCGCTTCGGTCTTCCACATCAGGTAAGACTAAATTACAAGTTTAAAAAGTGAATGACTAGGTCATAATTAGATTCAAAACTTAGGGATTAAAAAATAATTTACTTTAATATAAAAATACCTACCAGTAGTATATGATAATCGTTTTCTAAATATATTATTCTAGTGTAAAAGCAGCTACTGTGGCACTATCAAACACCTACTGCTGTATAAGATAGTATGTTTTATCAATATATTACTCTAGTGTAAAAACAGCTATTCTGGCACTATCAAACACACCTTACCTCCAGATGTTTATAAAGAAATTGTGGTCAAATAGACTTAAAAACTATACCATGAAAGGCTTCTTCGGATTAAAGATGCCATAGGATTATCATGATTTCAAAAATAAAAAACACAAAAATGATGCCAAAGATTATGTGAAGACTATGCCTTGGATTTGCGTGGGGATCTCGTGGGGACAAGCTTGTTGGATGACTTTATTTAAATTTTAGTACAAGTTGAGCATATCCACCTAGAAATTATCAATTTCTTTAGGAACACAACCTTAAACTATGAGAGGAGCCACTTGCCGGAATCACTAGGCTAACCAAGCATTTCCTTAATTATGCAGTTGCCAAAATCACTGTTTTATTTTTCTGTCAATGAACCTATAACTCAATTGGCATCTACATCCTCCTTTTTTTTTTTTTTTTTTTTTTTTTTTTTTTAAGGATTTGCAATCTGATTATTTTCTCTGAATAAGGGGAAAAAAAAGATATCGAAAGAGAAAAATTGAATTTAGTTAGGTATTGTGTATTTTTTTTTTTATATTAACGGATAGTGGGATATCTTTGGATTAATTTTTATGTCAATCGAAACTAAATCTATCACTTTTTGAGTTAAGTCGGCGTCGAATATGTTTAGTTTTTGATTTACTATTGGCCTCCCTCCAAGGCCGAATTAGCCTAAATTTGATATCATTAAAGAATAATTATGACTAATTATTCGTAGATAGATATTGAAAATTGAATCTTGATTTTGGTCAAATCAAAATAACTCTTTTATCATTAGACTATATTCTTTGGTAGATAAATATTATGTAGTTTATAAGAATTAATTTTTAATAAGTTCGTAAAATATTCAATATTCAATATGATTCCATAAAATTTAACTTCACGAGAGAAATGGATTCTATACAATTGAAGAAATCTTTTGATAATTTTGATTCTATTAGTAATGAAAAAAAATAAAAATCACAACATCAATTCTCTTACTATTACCTCTAATTTCTTATATTTTTTTTTAAATGAGGCTTTCAATTTCAAACCTTTGTTCCCCATCCGCATAAGTTTTAAGATTGGTAAGTTGAGTTTTTGATAAATGAGATTCATAAATCCATTCATGGAATTTAAAAAATAAGCTTGATGATTCGGGGAAATGTTCTCTCGTTGGTAATTAGTATATTCAAGTTTTAGGCTCTAAACACTAAAATTCTATAAATGCTATAGTTATGATATGGATGGTTTTCCTTTAACTAAACAAGATTATATATATATATATATCAAATATCTTCTAGATCTTGCAATATCAACCGGCATGTCTTGCATGTTTTCGCCATCACAACTTTGACTTCGATTTTAATTACCTGCTTAATTAACCAGCCCTCCATTTCATGCATTAATTCTTTCTACATAGACGATTATCTTTACCTCTTGTTGGACATCATAGTGTTAAGATAAGTCTGTAATCTCGTATCAACTGACAGTCACGTTGATCGAACCGGTTACTCAACTATTTAAGGTTTATGATCTTACATGTTCTTGAAAAACGTGGGCTCGAGTTCCTTGTAAAAGAAACGTTAAAATTTCCATAATTGTTTCCGAAGTTTGCTATCTTGTTCTAGAAAAAACATTCCAAGTTCTATGCACTTGGATTTTTCTCCTAAGCCTTTCGGAGAAATTGTACGTGTAGACATTAATATTGAGGTTTTCATTAAGTTTTCAGTGATGATCCTCTATGCAATATCAGATACCAAGTTTTTTCCCCTAAAAAAATGGTTTCTGTAACATATGGTTTGCATGCATGATCATATATATATATATATATATATATATATATATATATTCAATTGAACATTTCTGATGAAAAACAGCCATTTTACTCATCCGTTTTCTACACATTAACGTATCCCATTTACATGTGATATAGCATATAACTTACTAACAAAATGCCATATATATATATATATATATATATATAGAATTCAAATTCTACGACCATATGACTAGTAGGGTTCTACTACATATCTGATGACCTGAAGTTCAAACGACTCTAGATTCAAGACTTGGCATAATGCCCCACTTTATAATCTGAACCAGTTAAGAAGTACTATCTTCGATTTCCTGCATCGCTTGCTGGATCCAATCTATGCCATCATCACCATAGTTGGAAGCATAGGAAGACATTAATCCTTCTTCTGTCAAGAACATTGAATCATAACCATCTTGGTTGCAATTATTGTCTGCCAAAAATGGCTGGTTCCAGAAATCTTGAAATATTTCCATTGATGAAGAGAAACATTCTTCTGCAACACCATTCACGCCTGACATAGAATCGTTACTCATGGAGGAGAACTCAATGCAAGATATTTCATGAGATGAAGGAAAGTTCTCCACAGTTTTTGGGCGATGACCAGATTCAGAGGGAGTATTGACAGAAACACTTTCAGTTTCAGACTTTTCAGTCTCACTAACTTCAGATTGTGAAGTTTGTGAAGTTTCAGTACTCTTCTCTTTATTCATCAACTCAGAAGAAACTGATTGGTTTTGCTTCACTCTCTTGCTCAAGTTGGTATGCCAGTGATTTTTAATTTCATTGTCTGTTCTTCCAGGTAATTTCCCAGCAATAACACACCATCTGCAGAAGAAAAAATACACTTGGTCAATCATTTTTATCATAGCTGTTTCCAATTTTCCAGTCAATAGAAAATAATTTCTTCGCACGTGGAGGAAGTGACATGTTGTGAAGAAAATTCCTTACTTATTTCCAAGTTCTTCATGCATTTGAATTATCAAATTATCCTCTTCTTCTGAGAAATTTCCACGCTTTACGTCCGGCCGGAGATAGTTCATCCATCTTAATCTGCAACTCTTGCCGCACCTTGATAAACCTGTAAAAACAAAACCAAATCAAATTCTAAACATGGAAACCATTTTGTTGCACCTTAATTTTTATTTCTCCTTTTCAATGAAAATCAAAAGATATGTAAACATGAAAGATATCCTTTCATCATTTCCAAAAATTGAATCAAACCCATACTAATGCATATGATCATAGATTAAGAAAACATATATGGGTGAAATTTCTTTTTCGAAACCCATTTTATTTGTAGCTTCAAAGATGTCAAAAAAAAAAAAAAATCGTATATCTTACCGGCAAACTTGGGAAGTTGTCGCCAATTCCAGTGGCCAAATTTCTGAACATAAACTCTCAACTTAGTATCTTCTTCTTCACTCCATGCACCTTTCCTGAGTCCATTTTTATCTACCAAGGCTGCTTTCACCATCTTTCTATAGCTAAAAGAAGAGCCTTTCTTGTTTCTATAATTCCTATATTAAGGTTTATCTTAAGGATTTGTCTTCCTAGGTAAGTACCAATACACCTTCACATCTATCTATCTGTCTGTCTATATATATATATATACATATATATATATTGAGAGAGAGAGAGAGAGAGACCTCCTTTCAGCATCATCAATGTATTCAAACTATAGTAAGAGAATCGTCCTCAACCATGTAAAGTGGATGAATTATTATATATTTTTAAGGAAATTGAGGTCCCATTAGAAAGTGTAATTATGCTATTCCCTTTTGGAATTGAATAATGCCACGTTTAGAGTGAACACGGAGGCTTCCAAAAAGTGTTCTTTCAGTCAAAGTCACAGGACCATAAAAAATCCAGTATTGCTTTGTTTCTAGTCTAGTCAATTGATAAAAATTAAAAAAGAAAAAAAAAAAGGAACAGAAAAATCTTGACTATATACAGCTCAGTCAAATGTTCTTGCAAAAACTTCTATGCAACTATGTGCTATTGTCTTAATGGAAATAAATCAGAAACTCCATTTCCATGATAGGAAACTCCTTGGAAATATTTAATTGCTTTATGACATGGTTTTCCTCATTCAACTTGGGGTGTGGGTATGGTAGGGCAGCCTCTTCTTATTCAAATAACCCCTTGATCTTCAACACAATTTCAATGAAATTTAAGTTCAAGATCCATTTTGATATATATGTTAAGCCACTTGGGAAACAAAATCTAATGATTCCTTTAGTATTCTTGAGAAAAAAATAAAATAAAATTACAGTGAATTATTCTTTTGATACCGATTTTTTTAGTGAAATAATTATTATTTAATTCTTATATTTTCATATTTATTTGTAACTTCATTTTTGTGTTGGTTTTTCACGACAAAAAAAAAAAAATTTCAATTTGTTCTTTTCCCTCCTAAAATGTCCTTCATTTCTAATGAAAACCTACAACAAATAAAATTAAAAATTACATTTACAAAGAATAATTGAGATTTTCAAAAAGAACTAACAGTAAATTTGTTCTCATTAATTTTCAAAACCCAAAAAATTAACTTACAAAATCATTAAAACATACATGGACTCAATAAAACTGTTCATGGCTGGGCTAACTTCATGCAAGGCTCTTTTCTGCCACCCGCTGGCCTAACCTGTCGTATTAATTCCCAAGTCCAATCCAGCCCAGGATTCTTCTTGGGTTTTTTGAGGCCGAGTTTTTGGGTTTATCAAAACTATTAGAAAAGAATAATATAAATCCCTTGATTTTCAGAGTTTAAGTTAGTTTCTTTCAGCCCAATAATAAATCATCATTTATATAAAAATATCAGCAAAAGAGTTTACTCAGTATACAAAGAATTTAATTAATATTCGCCAAATAAATTTTGGTTAGTGATCTATACCATTTCTATACTACAAACAATTATTTAATTAAGTCTTTGTATCACTTTAAATGTTAATTAAGTTTATGTATTGAATCAATTTGTTTAATGGGAGTCATCCGCTAGTGAATTGGCTAATGATATTAAATTAATCCATAATCAAGAGTTTTTTTTTTTTTACCTCTAACCCTGTTATTTTTTTGTTTTTCACTTAAAGCATTCATAGGAATTATAAAAAAAAATAATCAAAAATCAAAAAGAAAAACTAAAGACGACTGGTTAAATTTCTTAAAAAATCTAGTTTTTTGAAAACTTTTTTGTAATTTCCATAAATACTTTGAGTAATAAAAGATAAAACTAACGGGGTCAATATTCAAAGTACTCGTATTGTTTTATTATGCAATTAACTAACGCTGTTAGGCAAATCATAAATAAAAGACTCATATTAAACAAATTGATTTATTATAATTAAAGATTCAATTAAATCTTAAGTTGGTTTAGAAACCTATTAAGTAATTTTTTATAGTACACGAACCATATGGATAGTAAACTCCATAAAGTTCTGCGAACCCTTATAAGAATTGTTTTTTGTGCCTTGTACATTCATATTTGGAAGGAAAGAAATGCAAAGTGTACCACCCAAGCATCAATAATTTACAATTAAACCTTTCATATCCATATTTGATCATGGATTTCATATAAACCGTATTTTTTTAAGAAAGAAGTAACATAATTTTACATGAAACTTAATTCTTTATAACATATATAATTCCTCAATTGAAAAAATCAAAATTGTTTAGAAACATAGCAAAATTGATGCAAAAATTTGTTACATGATTGATCCTCGTAAGAAGTACAATCGTACTTTGGACTCATGAATCATCATAGTTAGTTTTGTCTTTTAAAAGTTGCAACCTAAAAAGAGAAAAGTTATTCCTAAAACTTTTAAATTTTTTAATTAATCTCTTGACTCCTCATTTATATCAGATATTGAGTCTCCACTTGGCCTTTCAATCAAGGGGATTGGGAGTAGCAAACACATTACCTAGCTACGTTAATTGCACAGATTATATGAATGCTGATGTTAACTCATATTATCTCTGTATTATTATTTCTTTTTAGAGGTATTTATAACCTGTCTTAAATACATAAAAAATTGTGAAATTTATAGTTTATAAAAAGCCTCAATTTTTCCATCCAATTAAGTTGGATCCACAAACGAAAGTAATGTGAGATATTGAGTCTCAACGTAGCCTCTCAATAAGAGGCTTGGCAGTAGAGAACACAATGCCTATGTTCCTTATTTTTGGATATTAATTGGCAATAGTCTAGTGGGAGTAGAGAGGTAGTGTTGATTGGTGAATGCCTATGCATGTTGTAGTAAAAAAAAAAAAAAAAGTTGTTGGTACGAGGTTTACTAGTATAATTTACTTTTAAACTATTGAGATTGCAAGTGGTAAGATAAAGTGTATATTATCAATTTAGATTATTTAGATTAAAAAGTATTACTTTTTGTGTAAATTTTATTTTTTTCATCATGTTTGACAATTAAAATATTAATATTTGATTAAAATGCTTAAAATAATATTGTTTAAGTATTTTAGTATTTTTTTTTAGAATTAAAATTAGTTTTGAAAAAAAATTACTAGTTAATTTTAAGGAAGCTTAGATAATTTTGTTATTTATGAATTTAATTTTTGTTGTTGGATAATTATTGACAAGTACTGAATCCATTTAGTTTTAAAAAATAAATTATTAAATATTTTTATTTCAAAATTAATTTTAATTCTAAAAAAAATTAAAATATTAAAATATTTAAGTTAACAATTAATATTTTATCCGTGTCACACGTAATGAATAAGAATAAATTTTTTCTAAAAATTAATAATTTAAAATTTAATTAACCTAAATTGATAATATAGACTTTATTTTACCATAACTTCAATAATTTATGCCATTAAACTGGTGGTATGATTTTGTTGACAAATGTGGTGTCTTGCCATTTCGTTCACATGCTAATGAATGCGAGAAGAAAAATGGAAGGGTAAATGAATAGAAATCCATTTTACTGGGTGAATTTTCAGCATGCATACATCCACTTGCAAGGTCTTTCCCTGCACAATTTCTTCGTAAACGAAACAAGCAGATAGACCACCGTCAACCAATAAATCACACAATTAAGTACAGTTTTTGACAATCTTACAGACATGTATATGGCATGAACTAAATGTTTCCTGGCAGTTCTTGCATCATTTGATAATAGAAATCCATACCATCATCATAGTATGAAGCAAACGGCTCCTCTTGATCAAATGATAATCCTCGATAACCATCTTGGTAATAGGCCGCATTATCTGCTACAAATGGTTCTGTCCAAAAATCTCCAACAGGCTCTTCAAATGCAGGCACTGAAGGGAGAATCTCTTGATCTGCAATGCTATTCCAGTTTGTGCCAACTGATACTGGAAGTACTGGGGCAAAATCAGTGCTCAAGTTGGAGAATTCACTGCAAGATGTTTCTGGGGATAATGGAGAGCTCTCTAATATGGGGTTTGAAGGAGTGCAGGAAACTATACTTCCAGCTTCCATATCTTTATTCATCTGGCTGACATTACTACAATGACCATTCAACTCCAATGTGTTCTGGTTTTTCACCGATCGCTTCTTTAGATGGGTGTGCCAGTAGTTTTTCACTTCATTGTCCGTTCTTCCTTGTAATTTTTCTGCAATCAAGGACCATCTGCTAGCAGTAGAAATCTGTAAGCCTCATTTTCAAAAAAATATAAGTACATAAGTTTCACCTCTTTTTTTTTTTTTTTTTTTTTTTTTTTCAGCATAGCAAGAATTTTCGGGCAAACAATATTTTTGAATTAATTTGGTCAGTCTTATTGCATAGAATATGTAATATTTTATGTGGAACTCTTGTATGGTAATTAGTAGAAATGTATGAAAAGTTGAGCAAATAAATAAAAAAAAGCGTACTTATTCCCATGTTTTTCATGTAATTTGAGGATTAAATCTGCTTCTTCTTTGGTGTAGTTCCCATGCTTTACACCTGGCCGGAGATAATTCATCCATCTTAATCTGCAACTCTTGCCACACCTTGATAAACCTGTAAATTAAACACCAACTGAAATCAATTAAAACACATTTTACACCAAGAATATTACAGCAGACTTAATTAGTTAATAGTATTTTTTTTCATCTTTGAGGTATTTCAAAGAACAAAATCTTCCCTAGCTACCTGCAAGCTTAGGGATTTCACGCCAGCTGCAATGGCCATATTTCTCTACGTGCTCTCTTAACTTATCATCTTCTTCTCCACTCCATGCACCTTTCCTGACTCCATTTTTGTCAAAGTAGGGAGCTCTCACCATGTCTAAGACTATCTAAGTACTTTTCCTGTCTTCTTTTGTCTCTAGAGGCAAATGATTAATATTGTCTTAGCTCAATTAGCATCCTCACGAATTAGCTCACATTTATACCTACTACTTAGGTGTGAATGCTAAATGTGATTAAATTAGTGATAGCTACTGTCCAGATAGGCGTCTCACAATTTTTTAAAGAAGAGGGCCCGACATGGAAGACAAAGTAAAAGCCTACTTCTGGAATGAACAATGACTCCTTAAATGTGTCACATGCCTTCACCCCTTTTTTTTTTTGGTCCCTCATCTCCACAGGTTCCATGCGATTCAGATTTTCTTCTGATCTGTAAAAAGATAAAGATCGTTATATTCTAAATGACTATCATCATTCTTAAATCAAAATCATTAAATTTAAATTGAATGTGCATGTTTTAGTGCATGATAAAAATGATAACAATTTAACTCATTATTTTTTGTATTTCTCTCATCTAATCCATATCACTGAAATTTCAAAATGAATTATTAGATTTCATGTTTTTTAGAAAACATGAGAAGATACAAATATATAGAAAAAATGCAATAAGCCATTTTTTTTTAACATTAATAGAGGAATGCTATCTACTTAATTAGTAATATTATATAGAAAGAGATTAATTGTATGGTAAGCAAATTTGTTATTGTTTTGTATTTAGATATAGGATAAATTACAATAACTCTTTCTAAGGTATTGTGAAATTAAAAATACTGTCCAAAAGTTTGAAAAACAAATTAATAGAGGAATGCTATCTACTTAATTAGTATTATATATAGAAAAATTTCAATGAGCCATTTTTTTTAACATTAATAGAGAATGATAACTACTTAATTAGTATTACATAGAAACAGATTAATTGTATGGTAATGAAATTTGGTATTGTTAACCCTTCTAAGGCATCGTGATATTAAAAATATTGTCCAGAAGTTTGAAAAATAGATAAAAACTCAGATATTTAAGAAAATATTACAAAAACCTCCTTTTGAGCCCTATTATACCCACAATGTCCTTAATTACTATTCAAAAAAGATAGTTAAATTTAAAACTTCAAAAATGAAATAAAGAAAATATAAATAGAGAAAAAATGGGACATTACTTTTTCATACATGAACAATATTAGTTTCACTATTTAATTTAATTTAATTTTGTTTCAAGTTTCTATTTTTAATATTCTTTCTTTAATTTTATTTCATTTAACTATGTTTTTTTAATTGTTATTGAGGGTATTTTGGGTACAATGAGGCTCAAATGGAGGTTTCTATAATCATTTCTTAAACATGAAGGAGGATTTTGTCAAACATTCAAATTTTTGAGTGGTTTATGTAATTTTACAATACTTCAGAAGAATTATATAATTTACCCTTTATATATAAAACATAATGTTTCTAATTTTGATTGTTGAAAGTAATATATATATATAATCAAAATTAGAAACATTGATGTTCTGACTAATCGGAGGTTTAATTTAGTGATAAATGGACTTGTTTCTAATAATGTCGTTTAGGATTCAGATTAAAAAAAAAAATTTATAAGAAAAAATTTTGACTTGTATTTATTATGAGAAAAAACATTAAAATTATAATTTAGTATTATGAGGGTAACAACCATGTTATTCATTAATAAAAAAATTAATGAAAGTACTTGATTGATAATTTTAAAAAATATAGTGTTCTAAAATAAAAAAAAATTAAAATTCATATATTTGATTGAAAAAAATTAAAACTTAGTATACTCATGGTACAATTATGCCAAAAATTATTATGTTAGGTCAAAACTATAACCTAAATTTAATAATTCATTCTCCATCATGTATTTAGTGTTCCCAATTATTGAAGCATTTACACTGAGTACTAGTGTTCATATTGGAATATGATGTTCTCCCAACATTTCATTTATGACTTACTCCATTCTCTTCCTTATTATATGTCAAATCGTCATCCATAAATCATAAATTAGTGTTTCTAGCTTTGTAAAATGAATTAAATAGTCTTTTTTTTAAAAAATAATTTATTAATTTTTTGACTTGTATTTATTATGATTAATTTCATATTCTTTTGATCTAAATGTTTTATTTTCTCATCATTTTCCATATTGTTTTTACTTTTTTTCTCTTTTTTATTTATATAAAAAACAAGATAAATGAAAAATTAAGTTACATGTAGATTTAAAAATATAGACACTGATTACTTAATTTTTGAAACTAGAAAACTATTTATTTATTTTTTTTAAACATTAGAGTGATTAATTTATAATTTACTCTCGCCCACACCTCATTAAAGAATTACTCAACCTTTATTCCATTTTTTTCTTTATTAGATATGTCAAATCACCATGAAATTGACAAGCTCTGCAAACCACCATCGATGGGTAGGGTTGCATGGAATTAGTAAATGTCAACAGTTTGGCCTCATTATTACGTGTCCTGATCCTAAGAAAAATCTAGCATTGCATGATCAATTTGATAAATCAAGACCCCTTTTCAGTTAGGTTTTAATATTTTAGGCAAAAAGTTGTCTCTTCTCGCTCAACTGGTTCTTTTTTCTGTATTTAAAGCGGTGGCAGTGGATAGGATTTTCTATCTTTTATTTAGCTTGTTTTCTAGTGCATTATGATTGCATTTAGAAAATATATATCAGAAAAAAACAAAATGCAGATAGGAAGAACTCTTGGTGTCCACAAGGGAAACTGATCTAACCTGCTCGAGCAAGGGTTGCATAAGTAAATATGTATTTTATACTTTAGAATATTATGAATCCCTGTTCGAGCAAGGGATACATGTGTCCAAATCTTATGTGGGGATGGAAGAGATAAATTTGATTTTTTTTTTTATATATAATTTTGACATAGATAGTCTATCTTAAAGAGAATAACAATTATTTATGTAATATATATATATATATATATATATATATATTATTGAAGACTCTTTAAATACATTATGATAAAAGTGGTTAAACAATATGTTACAATAGCTAATTTTTTTAATCAATGCATTTTTTTTTATTCATGGATAGCTCAATAGACTTATTAGGCTACATAATGAGAATAACGATCCTTATTACATAAATATTAAAAAAAAATTAAAATCATTATAACTTAAATCTTATTTTATTGAGAAAGCTAACTAGGTACACAACTATTAGGCTAAGCCTACTTGTGCTCCTAATCAATTCATTGATGTTTTCATGTGGATAACTTTTTGTTGTTGTTGTTATTATTATTATTATTATTATGATGAAGGATAAGTTCAAACTTCAAACTCGAAATGCTTTATAAAAAAATTATTATAATATCAGTTGAGTTATAATTTATTGATGCAATACTTATAATTAATGAACTATTTCTTTTTAAGAAATAATTTGCTTTTCATTCAACTATAAGTTTATATAAATAAAAAGAAAAAAAAACTGTAAATAAGGTGGTGGTTAAAGGTTTGAAATCATTGAGCTTTTGTTAATTAGCCCAAGAGCATAGAAAGACATTAAAACCAAGAGGGGAAAAAAATATTATGAGGGGCTAAGAAATTTATCCTAACTACGACAAGTGTATATATATATTCATAATTGTTTTTTATTGTTATAAAGGATAAGTTAACTAGCTACTAGAAGCTGGATCTAACTAGCATGGCAAGTCTGATTTCTCTATTTGGTCGATCAGTTCTAAAAAAAATAAGAAATAGAAGAAAGAATTGATTAGAAGTGTTTTAGCAAAATATAGTATTTAATTTAAAAAGTAAATAGAAATAATTAAAAAAAATAGAGTAAAGAATTGAAAGAACTAATTAAAAAAAAGCATATTTGTTTAGTCAATTAGCACATTCAGTATTTAACTAATTAATTTCTAGTTAGTAAAAAATAAGAAACAAAAGAAAGAATTGATTAGGATTATGTTAAAAAAATATATAGTATTTAAAATTTTGATCAAACAATCATTATCTGACAGATATAAATAGAAAAAAAATAATTTTTTGAGGATCGAAGGAGAAGGAATTTTATTTCTATTTTCATATATTTTTCTTATTTTTTTAAATCACTTGAATCATAAAAACTTTAATGGTGATTATCAATTAAATATTTCTAAATCACTTGAATAAAAAAACATCAAATCACACTGAAAAAAATATTTCCTCTTATCATGGCAAGTCTGATTTCTCTATGTTGCATAATGAGTACAATTCAGCATTGCATATCGGCCACGTGGATTTCATCCATTGATCAACAAAAATTAAAGAAAAGAAGTACATTATCCCATCTTAATCCAAAAGATTAACTTATTAGGTGAAATCACACGAAATGATTCTTATTATTTTCTAACGTATTTTCTTAAGTAAAAATCCTTTAAATCTTGAAATTTGTACAAGTCTAAACTACATTGTGGTATTATATTTTTAACGTGAAGAGAAAGTGGAGTTTTGAAATTTGAACTCGCATTCCTTTGATCATTAATAAGTTTCTAATACCGTGTCAAAAAATTACCTTAATAAAAAAACTTAAGCTGTCGGATAATATTTTAAATATGATTTATATTATTCCTTAATGTATATACATAAATGTGGCATGAACTAAATATTCTCTGGCAATTCTTGCATCATTTGATAATAGAAATCTGTACCATCATCATAGTATAAAACAAACGGCTCCTCTTGATCAAATGATAGTCCTGGATAACCATCTTGGTAATAGGCCGCATTATCTGCTACAAATGGTTCTGTCCAAAAATCTCCAACAGGCTCTTCAAATGTAGGATCTGAAGGGAGAATATCTTCTGCAATATTTATTCTGTTTGTGCCAGCTAATACAGGAAGTACTGGGGCAAAATCAGTGCTCAAGTTGGAGAATTCATTGCAAGATGTTTCTGGGGATAATGGAGAGCTCTCTAATATGGGGTTTGAAGGAGTGCAGGAAACTACTCTTTCAGCTTCCATTTCTTTATTCATCTGGCTGATTTCACTACAATGGTTTTTCAATTCCAATGTGTTGTGTTTTTTCACCTGTAGCTTCTTTAGATGGCTGTGCCAGTAGTTTTTCACTTCATTGTCTGTTCTTCCTGGTAATTTTGCAGAAATCAAGGACCATCTGCAAGCAGTAGAAATCTGTAAGCCTCATTTTCAAAAACACAAGTCACCTCTTTTATTTTCTTTCTTCGATCAAATCCTCTTATATTTTTCAGCATATAATGAATTTCAGGCAAACAATATTTTTGAATTAATTTGGTCAGTCTTAATTAATACATTGGATATGTGATATTTATGTGGAAACTGTTGTATGGTAATTAGAAGAAATGTATGAAAAGATGATCAAAGAAATAAGTGCATACTTATTTCCGTGTTTTTCATGTAATTCGAGGATTAACTCTTCTTCTTCTTTGGTGTAGTTCCCATGCTTTACATCCGGCCGGAGATAATTCATCCATCTCAATCTGCAACTCTTGCCACACCTTGATAAACCTGTAAATTAAACACAAACTGAAATCAATTAAAACCCAATTTACTCCGACAATATTATTGCAGATGCATAGTTTATATTGCTGCATACTTAATCAGTTAACAGTAATTCTTTTCATCTTCGAAATATTTCAAAGAACAAAATTTTCTCTAGCAACCTGCAAACTTAGGGATTTCCCGCCAGCTCCAATGACCATATTTCTCTATGTGTTCTCTTAACTTATCATCTTCTTCTCGACTCCATGCACCTTTCTTGACTCCATTTTTGTCAAAGTAGGGAGCTCTCACCATGTCTTAAGACTATCTAAGAATTTTTCCTGTCTTCTTTTGTGTCTAAAATCAAGTAATTAATATTATCTTAGCTCAATTAAACATCCTCACGAATTAGCTCACATTTATACCTACTTAGGTATGAATGCTAAACGTACCTAAATTACCGATGGCTACTGTTGAGATAGACCTCTGTCCATTTTTTAAAGACGGGGGGACCGACACGAAAGACAAAAAAGTAAAAGCCTATCGAGCTCTAGAAGGAAGAAGGACCCTTCCATAAATGTGTCACATGCTACTCTCTGTCTCCTTCTGTTTCTTCCTGCTCTACCATTATACATGAATTTAAATTCTCTCCTGTTCTATTAGAAATATGACTATCATAGTTTTTAAATAAAAAATATTAAATTTAAATTGGATGAACATGATTTAATGTATGATAAAAATAAAAACAACTTAGTTTATGATTGTTTTATTACTCTCATCTTGTCAAAGAATACATTCCATATTGAATAATTAAACTAAAATTGATTAATATATAAAATTGAAAAGATGTCACTCATCATAAAGTTTATTAATCTTTTAAATAAAATTCAAACTCAATTATTTAACAATATATATCCAATATAGATCATTAAATTCAAAATTAATAGTTAGATTTCAAACATCACTGATCGTCTTTTTAGTAAAACACGGTTAAAATGATTAAAATCCGTTCTATATGGGGAAAACATTCAATGAACCACTTTTTTTTTTAACATTCATTAGAGGAACGATATCTATTTCATTAGTATTTATCAGATGACTATCTCACATAAAAGTTTAAGCTTATAGCTGAGATCCGAGAATATAATTTATATTAATCTAAAATTAAGGATGTTGAGACTTGAACTTAGGACCTCTTGGTCAACCAAGCTTCGATACCATATCAAATGACCATCTCATCTAAATGCTTAAGCTTATAGGTGAGGCACCGGAATATAATTTATATTAGTCTCTAATAGTGTTATATAGAAAGAGATTCATTGTAAGCTAATTAAATTTGTTATTGTTTTGTACTTAGATATAGGATAAATTATAACCTTTGAAGATATTGTAAAATTATAAAGCTATCCAAAAGTTTGAATATTGATAAAACCCTTCTTTACGTGCGAGAAAACATTGCAGAAATATTTTTTTGAACCTTATTATACCCACAATGTTCTTAATTACTATTAAAAAAAGAAAGTTAAATTAAGAATTTAACAAAAATAGATAAATAATATATAAAGAAAATTAGACACAATTTTTTTAGTATTTCAACAATATTAGTTCCACTATTTAATTTCTGTGAAGTTTCTTTTTTAATACTCTTTCTCTAATTTTCATGTTATTTAATTTAATTTTTGTAATAGTTTTAAGGGCATTTTAGGTATAATGAGGCTCAAAAGGAGGTTTCGGTTATATTTTCTTAAACGCGGAGAAGAGTTTTGTCTAATAGTCAAGCTTTTGAATAATTTTTGTAATTTTACAATACCTAAACGGATTATTCAAATTTACTCTTTTGTATGTATACAAAACAATGATAAAAAATAGGAACATTGAGGTTTTGACAAATGGAGTTTTAATTTAGTGGTAAATGGATTTACTTCTTGTGGTTTTGTCTAGGATTCAAATAAATAAATAAATAAAAAGTTATAAGAAAGAAATTTATTGTAATACTCTAATCAAAGTATTAGTAACTATCAGAGAATTATTTCAATTAAAAAATTTAATAATATTAATCAAGTGAGAATCCTTAAACAAGTTTCTACCAATGACATTCTAATGCCCTATTCAAAGCGATTTTAGAATCCTTAAAATGATTCAAAAATATTCTATTATTAAAATTAATTAAAGAAAAATTATCATGTAGCAATGATAATTTATTTTCCATCATCTCTCCTCATTATTGAAGCATTTGCATGGAGTAGTGCTCAGATTGAAATACGACGTTCTCTCGACACGTCATTTATTAATATGACTCTAATTCTCTTCTTTATGATATGTGAGATCACCATTTAAGAAAAATTTGACAAAATTGCGCAAACTTGCGACGCGACGATCGGCATCACAATCAATGGGTTCGGATGCATGAAATCGGCAAAGATAATCCTGTTTGGCCTCATTGTTACGTGTACAGGTTCTAAGAAAATTCTAGCCTTTCCATAAATTGAATATTTCAAGATTCTTATCTTTTTTCTGGTAAGAAGTCGTCTCTTTCTCACTTAATTGGTTCTTTTTTTCATCTATGTTTAAAGCTCATATAATTCACGTGTTAAAAGTTTACGGACGGTCTGAAATTTTTCATGGTAGTGGATAAGGTTTCCAATGTTTTGGATGGTTATAAGTGTGGAATAATCATTTTAATTCAAATTTTTAAATTATTAAATTAAATTTTAAAAATAAATTTATATTATTTTTTAATATGTTATTTAGATAAAAACTTTTTGAATTTAAAATTATATAGATTCATTACTATTATACGTAATTATTTAACTAAAAGAGTTTTTGCGATTGTTACATAAGGAAATATGTATTTCATATTTTAGAATATTACGAGTCATAGAATTTAAGAAATTCCTTTTTTTTTCGACAAAGGATATATATGTTTAGATTTTATGTCAGGTCGTAAGAGGAAAAGTTCTAATTTTCTTAATTTGTCAGCATAGAGGGTGTATTTTTTTAATAAAATGTAAAAGATGAATTTAGTTTTATATGTAAAAATTAATTTGAAGATAGTAATTATTATTATTCTTTTGATGAAAGGATCTTTTATTAAGAAATAAAACCAAGAGGAAAATAAATATTATGACGGGCTAAGAAATTTATCCTAAGTATTATATATATTGATTATGTATTACGAGTTTCTTTTGTACCTTTTTTTTCCTTCTTATTATAACAAAATTGTAAGGATGTATCAATCTCTCATTTGATCTTCTTAATTTATTTATCTATTGTTTCCTTTTTGCCTACTTGGAATCTTTTTGTGATTTATTAAGCACATTTCGTTATTTGACTCTTTTTTTTTATCAATTTATGAACTATTTGTTTCAGTGAATATGACAAGGGTGACGAACTTTTGCTGATATCAGCAAGCAAATAATTAGACACAAAAAGCCAAAATCCAGGAAAAAAACAGAATTAAATAAAGGAAAATGTGATTGGTATTAATTAATTAATTAAGGAAAAGAAAACAGCATTCAGTAAAAGATTTCACACATGGACCTCAAAAGTCGATTTTGTTGCCTTTCAATCACGTGTTGGGTCGGTCAACTTGGATTTCCATGATTGCCCTTATGCAGAAGGCCATATAGAGTAAATCCAAAATCCTCTTTTTACGTGTTGGATCGATTTCATGTTGCCTTTCATGATAGCACTCATATAAAAAGAATTCTCAACTAAAAACTTAAAAAAAAAAAAATCATGCATCCCTATAGGTCTAGAAATATAACGTGAGGACAATATTTATATATTTTTAAAATATAGATATCAAATAACTTGTAAAGTAGTATCTTTTAAAGTTCACATCTCATCAATATCACAAATCGTTTTTTCCATATTTATAATTAATTTACTGAATTTGAGTTTGTTGTATTTTTTTAATATAAGAAATGAAATAACACATGATTGTCTAACTAATGGCTTAACAATTAAATAATTTATACTCTCTATATTCTAAAAAGATTTTTTTAAAATTTGTTTTTACAAATATTAAGAAAGTTATTAATTATTATGTAATATCAGCATGTTTTGTTTATATTTTTTTAAACTACTCTTTTTTTTTTTTTTTTAGAATTGTTAGACATCAAATTTATTTTTACATGACACAAGTATAATATCTAGATCTAATTTCTAAGTTACGTGTGAATAGTTAATTAATTGACAAGTAAAAGACTTAGAAAATATAGTTTAATTAAATAATTTTCATATATATATAACTTAGAATTTAAAATTTAATTGGTGATCTAAACATTCATTAATCTAGAAAATAACATTCATTAATCTAGAAAATAATATTCTAATTAGGTAGCTCATTAAGGATATTTTGGACCAAAAAAATTTGTCAAAGAGAGGGAAATAAAAAGGGAAAAGTATTGGCTTCGTTCATTTAACATTTCATTGGCCTCCATCTATCTATTTTGAGAGGGCTTGGATACTAAGAAAGAAAGACCGTAAGAGGGACAAAATCGCGAGAGAGAAGGCAAGAAAGAGTTAAATTTTGCCAAGGAAGGAGCTGAAATTTGCCAAAAGGAAGCAAGCTTGGCCGAAAGAAGGAGGAAATTGCCGAGAAAAAGGAAGAGGAGGAGAGGGGCCGTTTGGTCGAAACTTTAGGCATGGAAGAGAGGGGTGATTTTTGGAGCTTTTATGACGAGTTCATCTTCAATCAAACCTAAAGTAATTGTAACTTTCACCCACCACAAGACTTAGAGTAATTATATGTTGATTTTGAAATTTGTGTGCATGTGAAACCTAGGGGTTTTAATTAGGCATTTGAATGAATTATGTGTAATTGATGCTTGGATTATGAAATTGATGAATGATTGACTATTGTTATGTTATGGCAAGTGTTTAATTGTTGATTGAATGTGTGTATAGTTCTATCCTTGCATTAAATTAGGAAATGGTAAATCCTAGTTGTTCTAGGGGTTGGGTTAGTGGTTGATTAAGAACTTTACATAGTGATGATGATGGGTATGTATTAAATTGATGATTATACATTGTAATAATAATGTGTAAGTATTTAATTGATGATTGAGCATGGTAATGATGTTGATAAGTGATTAATTATGGATTGAACAATTAAAAGGATAACTTTGCTTGGTGATGCATGATCTAGAGGTTTTAGAGTTGGGATTATGTAATTAATTGATTATTGCATAACTAGGTATGATTTTATTTAAAGGTTGATCACTTGATGATTTATTACTTGTGTTTATGAGAATTTACTAGATATTGGGTTTATTGATAACATTGTTATTAAGGTATAAATATAATTTATT